CCCCAAAACCCCAAAACCCCAAAACCCCAAGATGAATAATATGCATATTTAGGAGTGAGTAATGAAATTAAATGAAATACAATAAATGAGTTGATATGTTAGTTTAATTAAGAAATAAGTTGAAAATTTATATATTTAGTTGATAAAATGCAAATAAACTCAAGCAAAAACTAAGATAATTTATAATAAGTTAAAGTATATTGAGAAATGAATGTTGCGAAGGGCTCGCACAAAAAGCATCACTCACACGGAGGAGTGACGCATCCTGTCCAGAAAGACTAGGATGAGTCAGATGATGAAAGCGACTTGATAGACTAGAGTACTCTAGATGAAATAGGCGTCGATGTGCTAAATAACTTAATATAGAAAAGTAATGTATAAAGTTCGATTAATTCTGATTACAGTGGAACCAATGGCAATGGAAGCTCGAAGTTAATTTTAAGTGATGAATAAAGACATCGCGTTCAATATTCCAGATGGATATAGATTCGAGGAACAGTGCATAAGTAATAATATTATTAGATAATAATTCAATAATGACTTGCGTCCTTTAGAAAAGTGAGAATCCTCATTAACACAAAATAAGGGCTAGCTTCTTAATCTGTATTTTTCAAAAACAGCTGAAATAGAGGGCAATCATTTTCACAGTCAACAGATACTATACAGTGACTAAAAAGAATTAAAATAGAAGTCTACAACATTACTAAGGGGGAAAGAAAATCATAATGATATGGAGTCTACAGTAAATATGGCAGAGGAATCCTCTCTTCATCTCTTTCCGCTGAGAGTATCTCCCGACAAAATGAGTCACCATGTTTAAGCTAATTAAATAGACTCATTTGGTATTTAGCCCAAAACTCTACTTAAAAAGAGCACTGATGTGTAGCGGGAAATGCAATCCACTAATGATCAAACAGGGATAACTTCGTAGAATTCTGCATTTGCTAATTTAAATCCAATTAGCAAAAGATGTAAACTTTATATCTAAGACTTACTTTTTTACTTTTAGAATAATCAGCTTCATATGTTTAAAACCAGCAGAACACTTCGATGCAAGAGGATATTGCAGAAGAGGAAGATTTGATCTCCTTGCCTGATACAGAACGAGGGGAACATGTGAAGTCGAAAGAAGTACTTTAGATTTCTGACTCTTAAAGACATAATGCGTAACAGTTCCAGAAACAGATAAATAGGTAGAATAAAATACTGGAGAATTAGGCTTTTCTCACAAATAGCCATATTAGAAAGTTTGTGAACAATAACAACTAAATGCCAACAGTGGTGATTGAAACTGACAGTGAGGATGTAGCTACTTTCAAAGATCGCAAATAAAGAGGATCCATAAGAGCAGCAGGACTGTTTGGGGGTAGTATTGCAAATATGTTAAATGACTAGGAATCAATACTAAATATGTCTGTTAATTATTCAAAGAAAGATACCTAAAACTTGAGAAACTCCCAAAATAATTCAAGTGGGGATTCTGGCGAAAATGCGTAGAGAAATTCAGGATAGCGATAGCTATACTAACAAGAGAAATCTTCCTCATCAAATACTCAGCAAATTGTGTAAACACAAACCGGAAAAAGAGCTAGCTCTGGCTAGAGGTTGACATAAGGAAATGAAAGTAACTTTCAGTATGACTTGCTCAATAATTTTGGCTTAAATGAGATAGAGGAGGATGAAGAGGAACGGAAGACCCTAAAAATGCAAAGAAGCAGATTCACTGGTCCAAATAATTTGGATAATAAGGATAGAATCCATATTGATTTGGCTTCAGTTCATAATGATGCTTAAAGTAGTATATTTAGGAAATCAGAGGGACTAATGTCATTCATTATAAATGAAGACGATGATGTCTAGCCTTCTCTTTTTACTCCGACAAATTAAAGAGAAATGGAGCAAAATATGTCAAGGGTAATTCAATCATCATCTTTAACAGTTCTTTGAATAGAGATAAACATTGTTAGTAAAAAAGACAATCAGTTTTATTTGGGGCAACAAATTCGATTCAATTAACAAAAGGAGCGCATTTCTAGAAGAGACTAAGCCTTTAAAGGAAGATGACTTAATTAGAGATATTTAGTTTTCAATAAACTATTTAAAAAATGGATTGTAGATTTTCTACTATGGCTATTCATTTAATAGGTATCAATTATTTTTTGAGTAATTTTATTAGAAAGTATACTGCAAAAATGTAACTAAACCAAAAAGAAACAGAAATCAAGATAAAAGCTATCCGAATCGAGAAATCAAAGGAGATGTCTCTACAAAAAAAAGATATTTCTATGAATAGTAAGAAGATCTTTTTTTTGGGATAACAATCTTAGAAATTTTTACATAAACAATCTTTTAACACTTTTAATTTAGTTAAAATCAAGAACATTACCGGAATACTATTGGGTCCTCAAACTATTACTTATTAAATACTGATAAAGAAAGGAAGACTTTAGAGAATAACCGAGAGATACTGGTCATTTTTATCAATAGTATCAGCTGAGAGGACCTATGATATCTAGTTCGAGAAGAAGGACGAATTGATTAATTTCTACATCGCAATCAATGAATTAGTATCTAGATCGAATCCATAATTTGACAAAATAGTAGATAGAAGATTTCTCAGGATACATTTGACAAGAATGAAACTTGAGCACATTGCAGAAATGCAAGGCCTATCTATGATTTAACTATTTAAGAAGTCATTATACATTAAAGGACTGAGTTTACCAGAGATTACTGTGAACGATCGTAAATACAAATTTTAAGTTCTATCTAAACTAAATGGACTAATCTAATATACACCTGTTGTTAATCATATTGAGATTAATGACTTATATTAACTAAGTTAGGCACTAATAAATGATGCCCTAGCTATAGAAACTGAAATATCAATCAATATGAATAGAGGCCTCAAAAGAGATGACTCAAATATAAATACAAACGACGTATAGAGTGCCAGTTATATGTATCATCCCGGAATGGGATATTCATCAACTATTAACTCAGATAATTAATACATTAATAGCTTAACTCAATAAAACTTCATGTACAATAAAGCACAATAAGACTTTGAGGAGTAAAGGAAAGTTGACAGAATCAAATCAATACTCGCAACATCCATCAGGTCCATCTAAAGAAACGCAGTAAGTAAGGCTAAAGAAAAGAAGAGTATATTGGCAGGAGATAGTCTTGTGAGACGATTTCAAATGCAAAAAAGAAAATCTCTTATGAAAGATAGTCAATCTCATACCAACTTAATGTTAAGAAGTGGTAATGTCTCCACTCTTCATCTTTACAAAAACGATAAGAGTAACATTGAGTTAAGTGATCATAGTAGTATAAGCCCGAGGAGATATCATCCTTTGGATGAAAATAATAATACCTAACTATTCTTTCAAGAAGAAAATTAGAATGAGGAGGAGAATAAAGAAAAAACAAAGAGTGATTATAAAACAAATGGTGACAATTCTAAATCACCCTAGCCAATTTAAAAAAAGAAAAAATCACTTTGGGCTATATTTGTAAGTAGATAAAAAAATAATCAAATTAAACAAGGAGTTAAATAATCAGTTCAGCTCTAACTGAGTGAGCTTATCAAAGTATTTAATCTTTCAAAGAAATTTTATATGATCAAACAGAGGAAGCTACCAAAAATAGTAAGGAAAAAAATAGAAGAAGCATTAAATCATCATCTGTAAAAGAAGATCCTTTAGTGTAATAAAATGGCCGACTTTAATTAGAAGCTTGAGTTTCTAAATGATATGGTAGATTTTTACTTGCGACATTGTGATCAGGAGTCAGAACACTTTAACATCATTGCAAATAGAGTTATAACCAAATACCAGCACATGATACTTCCCTCACTGTTAGAAGAGAGACTTAAAAGAAAAGTAGATTACAATCAACTTCGAATTAAATACGAAGAGTAGCAGTAAATGTACTACCATTAAAATGTCATAGATAACAATCTTAGAACTTAAACAATTGTATCTTAACCTTATAATCCATAGGGTAAATAATAATATGACGAATTTTAGTCCACGTTTAAAAAAGTAGAGTTTAAGTAAATAGTAGAACTTAAAAGAGCTAAAACAAGGAAAATGGATCTTTTTTGAATTACTCAAGTAAAGTTTCAAATTTCAATCTATTCTAAGTATATACAGATCCATTTGATTACTTTTCTATTTTTATTTTAAATTCTACTGATTATAAATTTAATAATTTCTACTTTAATATTTTGAAACTTTGAATAGGGGTTTTGGGGTTTTGGGG